AATACATAATGCGAAGACAAAGTAAGGCGCCATAATGAGCATAGCGCTGCTCAGGTTGTGCTCATCGTCGTCAGTTCCGGGCATGTTGCGCCGTCTTGTGTGGCACAGAAAAAGTATTTGCAATGCGCGCTACTCCACTCGCTACGCATTAGCGATATGCTCATGGCCAAGTGCTAATGTGGCGATGGTAGGTGTTAGTCGACGTTGATGGCAGGTGTATTGCGATGCTCATAAAGTGTTCAGCGCTCAAGGGATGCACTTACGCATCTTTGCAAGTAAAAGATACATGCTTATCTACATGCCGTGCCTGTGGCTGCGTTATGTCACGCACAAAACCAAAACCATGTTTTATTAATCATTCTTTACATACATTTTCACTGCATAGAAGTTACGTAAGCATTTCCTAGTGGCAGCGAGTAAAAATGCCTAGGCGTATGAGTAACCTTACGGGGCGCATTGAATTTTCAAAATGAGTACTAGCGGCATGCGAATAGTGGAATAGTGAAAAGTAATAATGAATTTTGACAGGTAAAAGTTAATTCAATAGTTTAAAAAGTTTATATGAAGGTGACTATGTATTTGTTAAAGCCGAAGAAATTATCTTAAAGATAATGACAAATAAGAAGCGCATATCTTAGGAAAATTATATTTTATTTTGTTGTGAATATTTGTGGCTTTGGCCGGCCAACTGTATATACATTTGAAAAAGTTAGCTGCTAAGTGGTGTATACATACATCAAATACAAAAAACTTCTCCGAATAAATATAATGTAAACAACTGGTGAGCAATGAAAAAACACCACTTTGCACCAATCCTTTGCTCACTTGTCGGGTTTGGTGATGAACCTACTTACTAAAATGACACTTTCGTACCACCTTCCATTTCTACGGCTCCAAACTGATGGCACATAATTTTCATAAATTCACTGTGCCAAAATAAGACTACAACAAAGCATCCTGTGTAAGCAACCAAATGCAAATTGCGTTAAGTTGATGCGCCATATTCGTCGTAGATTTAATGTTGCTATAAAATATTTAGTGCAGAACAAAGTAAAGTGCGATGAGGTGTCATGAAATGCTGCTCCTTCTCCTTTTGCCCCCCCAACAACATCCATAACTCAGATGCAGATTCACTTAACACTGGGGCGCAGTGTAAACATGTGTGTGTGTGTGTGTGTTTGTGTGGGTGCGTTAAGGGACATAATAAAGTAGACACAAAACTAAGCATTGCTACTAAGCTAAAACCCAAAATCACACAGGCAGCGTAGTGTTTCCTAAGCTGCTTAAGCAGCCTACCTTTTCAGCGGCGTTTTTTTTTTGGTTTTTTGTTTAATTCCCGACAGCTTACCTTGGCCTAGCCTCGTTTATTCGCCATTTTACGACGTTATGTTGGTTATGGTGAATTATGAATACTGCGGGGAGTTTAAAAATGTACAAAACCACTTTGGTTTAAAAATTTCGTATGTCCTAAGGTGTACTCAGCTTTTTCACAACATTTTTTTTTGTGTTTCTTTGATGGCATTGCAGTGTCGAAAAAATGGACCTTGTTGCAAAATGGAAATATTTATGAGAGAAAAATTATGTATATTATTTTTTCTTTTTCGTTGAGATTCAACGTGGGCTTATGTGTGGTTATGTATGTATGTACGTATACATGCGCATCTATTTAACATACTCATTGGAGCGAGTTTAGGTGACATTTTTCGTACTTATAAAATTTGTACGCGCCAATTACACTTTGCAACATTGTAAGGATCAATGAGATCCAAAAGAAGTCCTTATTGATTTTTCAAATTATCCAGGAAAAAACAACTGGCTATAAGTTCTAATAATACTGCTGGTTTTCTGAGGGCCAAATAATTCCATTTGCCATATGCCATCTATGCACATTAACTTTGAATGAGCAGAAAGATCCCAGGTCTCACTTCGTCCTGGATGTTGTTGTTGTTATTTGGTTTTTGAAATTTTATTCTGAGGTATTGCCTTTTGGGGCAAGATTTTTACAGACACATATAAGAAGAGCCTGGACAGTAGGTTTTTACTATTCCCTTTTTGGACCGGTGAAGGGATATTTAGAGATTTCGCTAATACATAACCTCTGAAGTCCAAACTCTTCAGAAGCCTTTTCAATGCTGCCACAAAAGTTCTTCCCGGTACTCTTTTCGCATCCTTAACCCTCTAGTAGGCCAATTTTTTTATGAGTTGAAAAATTCAGGAATGGGTGATTTTAGCACGAGAAATCCAAAATTGATGTCCATTTCGATCTGTGACAGTAACATTTTCCTACAGGAGAGAAAAACCAAGACCGTCTGGAGACGGGCTCGCCGATATACTTACACATATTTTCAGCTTTCTCTTACACAATGTTGACCTACGAACCGGCAATGCCGTCTGCAGACGGTCAAAAATTAAAAACTGGGGTTTTATATGTCGGCAAGCCGGTCTGTAGACGGTCTGTGTTCGAAAGCAATTTTCTCCATTTCGAATGGTGACATAATTATAAAACTTATATTAAAATACGGTGCTTTTAACAACAAAATCCACCGAATTTTTTTATATCAAAAAATTTGTCAAAAGAAAAAATTTCTTTAATTACGAAATTACTAAATAGCAAGAAATAATTAATTTTAACCGTGTTTTCAAAATCTGTAATTNAAACTTATATTAAAATACGGTGCTTTTTACAACGAGATCCACCGATTTTTTTTATATTTATTAAAAAATTTTTCAAAAGAAAAAATTCCTTTAATTACGAAATTACTAAATAGCAAGAAATAATTAATTTTAACCGTGTTTCAAAAATCTGTAATTCAACTGCCGATTAAAATAAAACGGATTGACATAACGGATTAAAATTTACTTCGCCGTAAGGGTACGATTTTTGTCTAAGGATCGTGCCTTACGAATATAGAAAAAAATTATTATAGGTGCACTAAAAAGGTGTTTAGTTAACGACCGTCTGGAGGCGGTTCGGCGGTTCTGCCTACTAGAGGGTTAAGCGTAAAAGATCTTTTTATCAATTCCAATATTTTCCAAATACTATCCAAACCTCCAAAGTCGCTTGGCTAAGTAAAATCGGCAGCCATAGCTAAGTGGTTAGAGGTGCAGTAAGATCAAGGTTCGAACTTGATTAGAGCAAAATAAAAATATGTTTCTAATTGCAGTTGCCCCTCGGCAGGTAATAGAAAATCCAGGACAGCTGCCATGAAAAACTTTTTCATAAAACCATTTTTCGTTCGGAGACGGGTCACAATTTGGAAGAGAAGCTCACACATACAAAAATGCGTGAGTTCTACGTTTTTATAAATTTTTTAAGTAAATTTTAAATAATTTACTGGGGGCCAATTATTGTTCTGTAAAAACGTAAAGTGAAAACATTTTCACCAAAAAGTTTTCAATGTGAAAAAGAAAAGTTGGACATTTTTCTAAAAAAAAAAACTAATATCATTATCTTAAACTCACAATAATTTATGAAATAATTACCTGGTAGATGTTAATGGAAACGTTTTTATTTATAGAGAGGCGCTTGAAATGATATAATGCAATGAAAAAGTGAACAAATTAAATTTTCACTGGCATTGAATTCTTCATTATCACTTCACAATTTCATAGAACGGAAATTGGCCTCCTGAGTATTTTTTTGAAAAAAAAGAAAAAAAAAAACGATTAAAATGCATATCCGAGCAAAGTACCTGCTTATGTAGTTCAGCAGCGTTAAATAGAAGAAAATCATGAAATGTGTTTTACCAGAATGTATCAATCCATTAGAGAGGGGTGGATCTCCGTTTTAGATAAATTTGCAAAAAACAAAAATTTGAGTTGTCGCCACTTCCAGGAGGATAGTGGCATGTTAGCGAAGAACATAAAAGTCGAACGACAATAAAATAACAAACAAATACCCTAGAAAATTTGCAATTTTTACTTCTGGTTCCCTTCCTGGGCATTTGCGATGCACTTTTTATCATTTTAAATAAGCACAAGACACATTAGTAGTTAAGGGAAAAAATGACTAATGTCTGTTTCGGCCGAGTTTTATTTTCTTCTCTGACCTGCCATCGCAGCTAAAATCTCCCTGCTATAAAAACAATGTCAGCTGTTTAAGGTAGCAACAGGATTAATCGTTCTGCTGCCGCTACAATGCAGCAAAGTTTATACCAAGAGACAATAAATACAAACGAAAGTCTAGCTCTGCAGCTGTGTATTTTTTCATTTTTTTTTTCTTTTAACTGTATACTTTCACAACATTTAGGATTTGTGGTCGTCTGTATCGCTTGAGACACATTTTCATTAAAAATTTATGTAATTTTACTACGAGTCTATCGCTTTTGCTGGTTGTTTTACCTAAATTTTTTCATTACGCTTTATGCTTTATTCCGTAATTGTCTATGTTCTGCTAAATTTTAGGCGGATGCTTATAAATCGCTCGCGCATATGTCAGCCACATCATCTTTACCTCAAGCGCAGCGCTTCAAAATTATCTGTGCCATCTTTTCAAATTTTTTATTCACTCACACATAGATAAAGGCGGCTCTTTGATCTGTATGTTTTATGTATTATTAACCGCGACTTGATTTACGGTTGCTGGAACACTTGCTTACTTTTAGGCGTATTAGCAACCACAAGTGAATTGCCAGAATATTTATGTAGGTGTATGTATTTGTGGCATCGAACGATATGTACGGAAGGTATTGTGTTTTTTTTCGGCTTTGGCTTACCGCTTATAGTTAGCACCAGATCGCTTTGCTCGTGCTGCAAAGTGCCAAAGCGGTGCATGCATTTAGGCGTATTAGCTGAATGCGCTTATCAATATTTAATTAGAGCTTTATTTAATGAAAAAGCGCCGTTATGGTCATATTCTAACCTTTTATAAGTTTTCATGTTTATTTATTTTGTTATCTTTGGCTAGCAGTATTGCACCATTTTTATACAACACAACTACTATTCCCATAAATTGTTTATTATGTAGATTTTTTTTTTATTTTATTTTGTTTAATACTTACATCGCATTGTGAGGATGAAATATTTTTCAGGTTCAAACGAAATACGCGATCCCTGCGGGAGACATAAAAATCAGTTAATATCGATAAAAGCCAATAAATCGCCGCCATTGTGGTGGTCGCTATTGGGCTTTTTGGGATTGCTGTTGCATAAACGAGTACCAAACTGTTGCTGTCACATTGTTGCGGACAAAAAAAAAGAACAATGAGCAGCATGTACAACAGCGGCGATTTGATGGGAGTCATACACCTTTAGATTATTATTTTTTTTTAATATTATAGAAGCATAACTTACATGGCACCCACGAAGAGCGAGTCCCTGTCTTCGACCATGTGGAAAGTGCGATAGTATAATTTGCCACAGTTGAATTCACGTACATGATCTGGAAAAAACCAAGAAAAAAGTATTGATAATATAATAATCGAATGCTGTATATTCGTAGAAGATATGTTTAATTGTACCATTTTTAAAAGACTTTAGAGTATAATAAATAAACAGGGACCAAAAATAACTGTTATATCGAATTTACAAATTGAAAATGTTGCCTGAATTCTGAAATTTAACAAAAACGTCGTTTCATAACAGTTATTAGATGAGGAATATTTTTTTCGTTGCTGTTAAGAGTTATTTCCCAAAGTTTATTTTTTACGTTGCTCGATAACAGTTATTGTCCAACGTTTATTTTTTACGTTGCTTGATAACCGTTATTGCCCGACGTTTATTTTTAAGTGATCTGATAAGAGTTATTTCAATCTCTCACTTTTATGTCATCATCTTTATCTTATTCTCCACTTCCATCTTCATCAATATCCTAATCTTACAACATTTATCAGACAACGTAAAAAATAAAGGTTGTAAAATAACTCTTAACCAGCAACTTAAAAAATAAACGTTGGGAATTAACTCTTATCGGCAACGGAAATAATATTTCTCATGCATAACAGTTATCAGGAAACGTAAAAAATAAACCTTGCGTTATAACTCTTATCGACGAAATAAAAAATATTTCTCATTTAATAACTGTTATGGAGCAACGTTTTTGCTATAAAACTTATAACTGTTATGTCCTTGTAAATAAATGTTAGTAAACTCAGTGATAAAAAAATCCCTTTTGTTACGGTGTTTTAGTTACTACCTCCTCAGTTGTAGCTGGTAGTTCTTTTTGGTTGTGCGTAAAGCATTACATACATTTTAAAAAGTTTCACAAAAATCGTACATAGACGGTTATGCCAAATTTAAGCGATGATATAGAACACTCAAAGATAACAATATGACCTTAGAACGAGTTAGTGTATTGACCTATTTTTTCTTCAAGGTCTAGAGCAGACATCTACCAACATACAGGTTAGACAAGTGCCTCATTAAATTGCAGTAGTCAACAAGCGAAGCTTTGGTGCTCCTTGTTGATATCTCCGGCATAACACGGCAGTCTAGTTAACAGTCCTGGGGATACAAATCTTTGTGTGGCCTCTCTCTAGGCTGGTATCTGTCACATCATTAGCCATGACTTCACTAACTCGGTAAGTTAATGAGAAAAACCTGGGCTTGAATCGCGGCATTTGTTATCAAACGTAACTTGAATCGAAATTAAATTTTGAGAACAGGGAATTTGGTAGCAGGTACGCTTCGTAAGTTTAGTGTGGAGAAAACAGATATAATTTTATTTGTTCTTATTTGCCTGTTAAGAAAAATACTTTTTTTCGATATTTTTTTGCGATGTTGCTTTAACCAGGGCTTGAACCCAGGCCCTGTAGCGCTTTGCTAACCACAACACTCTGGAGTTTGTGCCCTTCGATGCCTTAGATATTCTATGAAAATGAGCAATATTCAGATAAATCAGCAAAACGTATTTAAAATTCGCTTGACAATTCAACTGCAGCACATACGTGTACATACATACATATTCACATGTGAGTTCTAATTCGCCAATGCAACTAACTATTGTCATCAACTAGCCACGAATGCTTGTCATTTTCTTTGTGACTTCACAGTTAGACAGCATTGCTCCAGATATCTGTAAATGCAAGTTGGGGAGCTGGTCATGTCTCAAGGCTGCCCGTATCAAAATCTCACAATAGAAATGTGTAAAAATAAATAAGGAAAAGGACGATACAAACTTGCGAAAAGCGTAAGCACTTAATTCTATATTTAAGTTCACATTATTGTTAAAGTTATTTACATTTTGTTTACCTTCGCCAACGACGTTGACATCCGACAAAATGACGAAAAGGATGGATGCAAGTTTGATCGCCATCGTCGTTGAAACAAAGTGGGGCTCAACCCCAAAAATATGTCAAAATCTTAAAACGGTGTGAGATGACAGCAATGGAAAAAATCTTACAGATGCGCACTGTCACTTTAGATATGCTTTTTGTTAAGGAAAGCTTTTTTACATAAACATTTCTTCTATGAAATACTGGCATTTAAATTACAATGGCTACATTTGTATTTTTTTTATTTAATTCACTTTTTGTGGCGATATGTGTGCAAACGTAACTTGATGGTATGGTTTATTCTCGTTTCAATATTTTTAGGTGTATTGCCGTTCAGCTTTCCAAAGTAAATTGATATACCCGAAAATGCTGCAGACAAACTGCAAACGAAAATAAACCATCCAAAAATATATATGTATGTATTTGTACTGAAAAATAAACGATTGAAATCTTTTAACAATAAATGAGTTAAGGATGCACCAATGGGAAAGCAAAGAAACATAAACTGACAAAGAAATGTAAAAATGTTGGGATATTAAAACAAAAAAGTTGAAAAAATTCGAATAAGCTCCACAGTACTGAAGGCGAGAGGGAGGGCGCGCGCGCATTTTCTACAGTCAAAGCTGACCATTGATTTGGCACAGCAAAATATTTTATTTCCCAGCAATTTCGTTCCCCAATATTCGTACTGGCCTGTGATTGTATGGATGAGCAATGTGACCCCACTCGTTTGAGCAGCTTGCACAGTTTGCGGCTATTTGGTCCAATTCAGATATATATACGCATACATACATAGGTATTTTCTATAAACTTGCATGCGAATATATTAACAATCGTCGTTTTCCGAAATGAAAAATTGATATGCTGCACTCGTTTGTAAATAAAAATGGCCATCAATGATGTTAGAATGCCCGGAATAGTGTTGTATTTCAATACGAAAAAAAAAAAAATTGTTAAAAATTCGCCAAAAAAGAGAGTTACAAGAAGGAAGAGAAAACAAACCTGTACCTCAGTTGCCACTATATGTATGTATATGCAAGCATATTTGTACATACATAAATACACATGTACATTTGCACAAAAAGAATATTCATTTTTATACATATTTCACTGCCATTTGTTTTGGCACAAAAAGGGGGAAAAATCATTGGCGCACTTCATAAAAACTAACGAACTTCCATGTCCAGCAAAATCGGGCAGAATGAAATTGAAATTCAAATCAATTGACAAATAGCCGAAGGCATTAGTGAGAAAAATTGGATATCCTTCCAATAGGAGTGGGTGAAAAAGGTGGTTGAAAAAAGTGAAGAGCAAAGAAAATCGGGAATATTCGAATTTAGGAAAGTATTTACTCGCTTGACGCTTGTATGCGGGAAGATGACTTAAGGTTACTCATACGCCGTGGTATTTTATTTAATAAGTGAATACAAACATACTCTCCAACATTTGTGTATATATTTTGTTAGTATAATTTATACAAAAGTATTACTCGAAGCTTTCTCAAATTCTATTCTTAACATATCAAAAAATGGATTTTTGCATAAGACATGGACATTTGAAAGTAAGTATTCATTTAACTCCATAACTCTACCAAAATTTCTTGTCTATGACGGAGTTATTTTACCAAAGCAAAAACATGCATATCAAAGTGTTATCTCTTTTAAAATTTAATAGCATAAGCAGATTTGAGTTCACATTTTTCGTTTGAGATTTAGATGTCTAGGAGATCTATCATGCTTCTTTTCCTGACGCAGCCTAGGAAATTGGTTAGATGTGCTGTTCTCCATCTCCGCTAAGCTCTTCTAAGGCTGCGGTTTCGCTAAATGCTAATTTTATTCGCGCGATAAAATTCGCTCTTATCGAAACCGCAACCTAAGTCTGTCATCCGTGTAGCCTTGGCATTGGAGGATGGTGAAGAAATATTTATTGACATTCTGAAAATTTGTGCGATTCCTTCCCCAGCCGTAATGGGTCGTTAAATAAAAATAATAATCCATCATTTTTCTTTGGTTAGCAATTAGCAGTTTTACGGCCTCAAAGCAAACACATTTAAGTGCCTTTAATTTGTTAGCAAATTTGTACACAACGCTTCAATTAATTGTGAACGTCTCGCATGGCGCCGGTTCGTCTGAGTGGCCTTAGAAATGAAAGGAAAATATGTGTTTAGCAAATAAATGTTTGCCAAAAAAAGGCATTTAATTAATATAATTAACATTTGCTTGCCTTCAAGCGATTTGTTAGTTGAATTTCGCCCTCTAATGTATAAAAAAAAAAAATACATATACACATGTAAGTATACACACTGCTTCATTTATAATTGTGAATTTTTGCGTGGAGAATGTCAAGGGTCCATTCTTCAAATTGATTTGGAAAGGATGTAAACAAAAAAATATCACAGAACCAAAATGTTTTAATAAGTATCAAAATAGAATCCATCGATTCGAAGTAATTTGTAGACTTGCTTAGTTTTATGTAATGCGTAAGGATTCGTTCAAGACCAAATCGATATACATACAAGTTAAATAACTTTTGCGTACGTTGTACATGTCACCAGATAATTAGTTAACCATGAGTAAGGTTCGAAAAGTAAATTTCTGTGCATACAGTACTCGCTTTAGGCCTTGGCACTTACATATTTATACCCCTCTGTTTATTCATTGTATGTACAACATTTGTATGTACATACATACATATGTACTTAACAACACGTACGTTGGCCAACATACATGACCAATATTTGTGTACATACATACGAGCTTTTACCCACGACGCAAGTGTCTGTTGACGGAAAACAAGCAAGCAAATCGCACAATTAAACATGCCACCACAGCTTAAGCAATTAACATCCTGCCATGTAAGTCCTCACAATGTCCTGCGTGCTTATATGACATTTCAAGTAAGTTACTGGACACAAATGCCATATAAAAGCAATTGTATGTATATATGTATGTATTTGTATATTGTAAGTATGTAGCATATCACATGCAGAAGAATTGTTTTCTATTTGCTTGGCTTACTGCGACAACCTTCCAACAATGTCTTGATATTGCTTCTTTTATATGGCACTAGAATTATTAATATATGCACATATACTGTGTAAGTATGTAGGTATGTATTTATTACGTAAATTTTTTTTTTTGTAATAATGCTTCGGTTTGCTGTTGTACAG